TACATTTAGTCTAGCAATAGGGAACAGATAATAATTGCTAAAGAAAGATCAATTAAAACTTCAGTTTATTTGCAAATTTTAAAATAAAAATGATTCTCATATATATGCATGCGTGTAAAATAAAAATGTGTTATATTGCTTTTTTAAAAAAAACTTAAAACTTTTAAGTACAGCCTTATTTTTCTGATCCAGTTAAATTCTGTAGGACTGGAATCAGCATTAGCGCTATAGCAAAGTAATATTTTCATATCTAAATTAACTCAGTCAACTGATAATAGAAAAATCAAGTTGACTATCCTTTAACATTTGCTAATAACTAATCCTGTGATTTTTTTTTTTTTTTTTTTTTTTTTTTTTTTTTTTTTTTTTTTTGGTCATTGTTGATCATTATTTACTGAAATTTCCCATTTTCTTTCAAATGTTCCACCATAGAATCAATGTATTTTTGCTCTGTGATGCACAAGTGATTAGTAGACGATGCTTTCTGTTCTTCATAATAATGAAACAGAAAGCAGAGTTCTGTATTAGTATTGTTCCATATTCTGGCTAATATACATCACAGTCAAAAGGGTATGATAATGCGCAGCTGCTTGGGAACTACAGGGCATGGCTAAAGAGTTCCCTAAGCCTTTTTCACCTTAGACAACAATTAGTAGTTTACATTTTCTAAACTATCCTGTATTAGATGATCAATTAAAAAACACAGCTAGATCAATTGTTTAGAAATGTTTTATTTTCAGCTTATTTGTCCTGTTTGAGTGTGGATTCCATTTTCTGAAAAGTTTTTCAGTCAAATATTCAGATCTCTACAATGTGGACTTTCAAAAACTGTCTTATAGTTAAATTAAAATCTTAATAAAATTTTATAGTATATAACCACACCAATGTTTAGGATTCTTCATATATTCTTAGAGCCTTCGGATTATATTAAGTAGAAAATACATTATAGAGAATTTTAAGGCTGTGATCTGTTAAAATTCAGATTATTCATTCTTTCATTCAACAGGTAATTCTGAATGTCTGAGGTATGCTGGGCACTGCGCTAGGCACTGGGAATACAGCAATGAATAAAACAGATAAAAATTCCTGCCTTCACAGATCTTTTATTAAAGTGGAGGGAGTCAAACAATAAACTAGAAAAATCAATTTTAAAAAAAAGCATGTCAGATAGTGATAAATGCTGTGGAGAAAAGGCAGGAAAGGGGGCTAGGGACTATGGGGAGGTGATGTGTAGTTTTTTATGGTGTGAACAGAGTCCCCCCAAAATACTGCTGTTTGAGCAAAGACAATGTTGCACCTGTACCAATTAGTTCCTTACATTTTCAACTGCTTAGAAAACAACTTATAAAAATACAAATGATATCAGAATGTAAAGATCGTATATATTTCTGTTTTCATCTGATATTGATCACAAAGTACTTCTAAGTCCACCTTTCTCTATAACCAAAAAAAAATCCATATTTAAGGCAAATTTTGTAAAAGCTGCAGAAATTTCTTATATTGCTTATTTGAGATAATGGAGTTAAGTTTTTTTTCTATAAGTAATTGTGCTGAAGAGAATGAATACACATTGGATTTGAGATTTAAAAATGGGTATTCAAGTTCTCCATGTGTTAGATTATTAATAATCACTAGAAAATGATAATAAAATAGGAACTGATGGTTTTTCATAGGTTTCTGTAGATTTACATATTATATACTACATTTTTTCACTTTCCGTCTAAAATTACCAGACTTTAAGATTTAGCTGCAGAATGTGTAAGCGCTTTTATAGCTGTATTTTTTTAATGTTAAAAAAATGATTATTCAAGAAATGGTTATTAAAAATGACCATTAAAAATCTGTTGATATTTTAAGATAGTAAATTTTGCTTAAGTTTTTAGTTTATTAAATATAAAATAAAGTTGTAGTCTTCAAAGTAGGCAGCAACCTGGCCCCTGGTGATATTTAGCAAGATTTAAGTCATCACTATCTGGTTTAAATTTACGAGAACCCAGATTCCATAAAGTCAGTTTCTTCAGCTTTCCATATCTGGGCTCCAAATTATTCATGCAAAGTGGTTGCATGAATCAGAAGTACATCTAAAGCTGCCCTTAGTAAAATTCTCTGTTCATAGCACTGATATAAACACACCTTTCTCTTCTCACACAGGATTTTGCACAGACTCCAGGTCAGTCAGATAAACAGCCTTATCAGCCCAAAGGTATGTCTCTCTTTAAATTAAATTTCATGTGTTTGTTAGCCAAATAGACATGTTTCTCACCCCTTTCTTCTGGAACTGTTAGAGAAATAAATTTAGTACATCACCTGAAATATTTGCAAGTTAGACACCAAGGATACTTAAGTGAGTAAAGGAATGATTTCGTCATAAAGCACAAGTGCACCGGAATATACAGAGACGCATGGAAGCAAAAGAAAAGCACAAAACGTCTTTGTGTAATTTATACTCACCTCATGAAAAATATATTAAATGGTGAATAATTACTAAAGAGCCACTTTTTAATATACTGGACAGTGAGATAATTGAGACTGACCTATATGTCTCTCATAAATGCTGAAATTACACTGGTTTGGTTCCTATCCATGTTTAAAGTTATCAATGATAACAATCCATATTTTCCCTCTAAATTCAAGTACTTCAACTTCTTTATTGAAAATACAGATGCTCCTCAACTTACAGTGGATTACATCCCAATAAATCCATC